CCCCAAAACCCCAAAACCCCTTAAGTATTGAATATTGAGATATTAATGAAATAAGAATCTTAATAATAATACTAAAATAATCAAATAATGATATAAGCTCAATTAATTTATCATTTATAATCAATTAATTTCTCTACCAATCAACCTCACCATGTAGTTTAGGAGTGTTTCTATTGTATTGCTTCAGATTTTACTCAGTTTAGAGTATTTATATGGTTAGCAACTTGGATTATTAGGGTTTTCATTGAGAGAATAGGTCTTGCTAGATTTCTTGAACGAAGCCAAACAGATTGGAGACTAAGTATTTGCAAATAAAACAGTAAATGATATAGATATATCTCCAGAATTCAAGCTCTACAACATAACTTGCTCAATTGTCAATTCTAACTACACTGAATTTCTCCTAGTGCTCTATAATATGACTAATGATGCCACTTTGATAGCCTATAATTCATCCTTAGAGTGTATTGGATTATATTCAATTGCAGCAGGAATCATCCCTGCTGTTATTTAAAATCAGACTAATGATACTAATTAAAATAAAACTGAAGCTAATAATAGTACGGAAGGGGCCTCATCAACTAATACAACTAATAACTAGACGAATTAGGCTTAGACAGACTCAAAATGGCTATTAAATATTCAAAACTTTACAGTTACTATAAATATATCAGTGGGTGCCAATGAAACTGAGTACTAGACGTGGCTCCCAATATTTGTTCTGTAGAATACAAGCACCCTTATTATAAATCAAACACTCTTTATTCAAGGACTATCAGGCAATCAAACTCAGACAGTAGAGCTACCTGTTTCTAATGATACTAAAGCCTTGATAGAAAACGCAGTAAATACATACCTTAATGAATCTCTCGGAAACTTATCTCAAAGAGCTAACAATGAGATAATGGCAAATTTATCTAAATTAAGTTTATCTAATGACATCTCATACCTTCCAAGTTTCAATAATACAAACCCATTGATACTGGATCCATTCATTAATTTATTCCTGCTAGGAAAAATTTATTTAGCTCAGCTTGGAATCAATGAAACTTACAACTATGATCTTATGACAATGACTTTTGATGATTTTTAGAGTGTTGCAGATTAGGATCTATAAATACTAATCTCGCCATAATTCGTGCAGGACTTTTTGCTAAGTTACATATTATCTGTGAATTACCTAACAACTGTTGATTTAAACAATCTTATCTAATCAGACCAACTCAATGCTGAGAAGCTTACCATTCAAATAAATGACTACTAACAGCTAAAAGTGACATAAGAGTCTAATGATACTATGAAGATTTCGATAAATGATTATAATTTGAATTTGAGTGGAACCATAAAGACTTCCTCTGATGATGATTCTAAGCCTTTTAGTTTAGAATGCAATGTTAGACGTGATCCATCTGAGATAAGAATCTAATTCTACAATATAACTAACAACTATTCTATGTAAATGCCTTAGGTTACTGTCCTGAACATTTCTCCAAATATTAATGATGATAGGTGTGATTTGCATTTGGAAGGAGGTTTGTTTACTGAGATAGAAGAAGCATACATCGAAAACTTTAGACTAGATAATTATATTGAATAGATTGAAAATCGCTTGAATAGCTAGTTCTCACCAGAATTGAGTCAGAAAATCAATAATTATATCAGAGAGTAATGGGTGCCTATAGAAGTCCTAAATGATACCTTAATCCTTAATTACACCTTAATTAAGCCAGTAAATGTAAGATCTGATGCTTTTTCAGAGTTGAATATTGATATAATTCCCGAGGTTATATAAGGCATCACCAATCCGTGATTAGAAGTAGAAGGGGTTGAAATCTATTATCGTAGATTGAGATAATTTCTTTATTGATTATTAATTACCAGATACAAACAATTAATTTAACTTTTGATATTTTCGCATAAATGGAAGTTTGGGGTTTTGGGGTTTTGGGG